TTTTATGTGAGCAAATATCTAAAGAATATTAATGCTATCTTTTATTATTATTCCTTCAATATATTATTTAATTAATTACACTTATTTTTATTTTTTTTATTGTTATTATTATTCTTTACATTGTTAGTACTACTATTTTTATTATTGTTATTACTATTATTTTTTATATATCTTTGTTTTTGTTGCCTTAATATTATTACCTATAATGATAGTCAAAGTAGTTCAGTAGTTGCAGTAGTTTTATCATTATTGTTATAACTATTCTTTAAATTGTTTATTTTATAAATATTAACTATACTATAATTATCTTACTATTGCTTTATCATTTATAATTCTTTTTACGTTGTTATATTGCAGTTATTATTTTTTATGTTATTTTTATTCATATTATTGTTACTATTATTATTTTTATAAATATTTTTACTTTTAACTTTTTTTTCTTCTTTTTTTTTTTTTAAATCTTCTTTATTGTAATTGTTGCTTATATTTCTTTCCTTTTTTTTTTCTTTTTTTTTTTTTAGGTGTCACTCCATTGACTAGTTTTCAACTATATGAGACACCTAACCTTATTTAGGTAAATTTATAATTTATCATTGTAAATCATGGTTAAATAAATGGAGAAAAAATAAAAAATTGAAAAAAAAAATAATAAAATGACCTTTTTTATTCTGCCCTATATATTTATTTTTTATACCATATAGACTAAACTAACTTGTTGCTGTTGTTTTTACCATTAGCACTTCACGGCCTATTGAATACAAAATAATGACAAGAATTCTACTCGAGTTGCAAGCATTTGCACATCATCAACTCTATAATAAAACATTGCACATCAAGCATTGCACATCATCAACTTTATAATAAAACCACAAAAACATAATTGTTAATGCTATTTATAGAAAGCCATCTGGTAGCTTTCAAACTCACTTAAACACATTTTTAACTAAAGTCAACAAAGAACAAAAGCATATTTACGTTGCCGGCGATATCAATTTGAACTTGTTAAAACAAGCTTCAAGCATTTTATCGATAAACTTCTTCAACATAATGTCATTCCAACAACAAATAAGCCAACCAGAATAACTAAAAAATCTTCTACTTTACTTGATTATCAAGTAATCACTATATATGTTAGTGATTATTTGATAATCACTTTACTTGATTATCAAATAATCACTAACAATTTTTATAACAACCATATTTTCACAGGTATAATCAAAACAGACCTATCAGATCATTTTCCTACTTTTTTAACAACTAATAATATAACTATTAATAATATTTTTTCTAAATTTATAATATAGAGATGGCAGATCAAAAAGTACTCCTTACAAAAATTTCAACACCTTTTAAAATATAACGTTGATTGGGATCTTATAATGCAATCGGTAAAGGTAAATAATGCCTATGAACTATTTCTTAAATTTTTTTGTAAGCAATATGAAAAAGCTTTTCCTGAGAAAAAAATTGTTATAAATACCAAATCATATCAAGCTCCACAGATGTCTAAAGGTTTATTAAAATCTTCAAACAAAAAAAAAAAGTTGTATGAAAAATTCTTAAAAAAAAAAACGTATAAAAATGAAACAAACTACAAACTTTATAAAAATATATTTGAAAAAACTAAACAACAAACAAAAAAAATTTACTATTCAAAGTTGTTAAAAAAAACTAACGGAAAATCCAAAAGTACGTGGAGCGTAATTAAAGAAATTATTGGCAGAAAAAATAATGGAATAAGTATTCAACCAAAGAAACTCTTAGTAGATGGTAAAATAATTCATGACAAGCCAATAGTAGCTGAAAATATAAACTGCTTCTTTCTTAATATTGGTCCAAACTTAGCTGAAAAAATTCCTTCAAGTTCATTATCGTATGATTCTTATTTAAAAACATATGATAAAGTCATGGACGAATCTAAACTAGATATTAGCGAGTTACAATCTGCTCAAGATAATCTCAAAAACAACACAAGCGTAGGTTTTGATAACATTAGCATAAATGTTGTTAAGTCAATTTTTCATATTATAGAAACCTCTTTATATCACATTTTTAAGTTCCAGAAAAATTAAAAATTGCACGTGTCTTGCCTATTTTTAAGTCTGGCGATGACACGGATTCTTCAAATTATAGACCAATATCAGTTTTAACTTGCTTTTCTAAGTTACTCGAACGTATAATGTATAATAGGCTAAACAGCTACTTAACAGTAAATAACATGTTGTACAACAAGCAATTTGGCTTTAAAAAAAATCATTCAACTGATCACCGAGTTAGTAACTCATGTAACCAATGCCTTTAATGATGACCGTTTTATATTAGGAGTCTTTATTGATCTGTCTAAAGCCTTTGACACAGTGAACCATGTCATTCTTTTAAAAAAACTTAAACATTATGGAATAAAAAACAATAACTTACTATGGTTTAAAGAATACTTATCAAACAGACAGCAATACATTCAATATGGAAATATTAAAACGACAAAAAGTATAATAAAATGCGGAGTTCCTCAAGGCTCGATCTTAGGACCGTTACTGTTTTCTCTTTATATAAATGATCTATCTCTTACCTCGAACATATTATATTTTATTTTGTTTGCGGATGACTCCAATCAGTTTTATTCTCATAGGGATATTAAAACCCTCTTTAAAGTAGTTAATAAAGAAGTAAACAAAGTAAACGAATAGTTTATTTATAATAAACTTTCACTTAACGTTAACAAAACTAAGTTTATTCTATTTTACAAACCAACCAAAACAGGAAACTTTCCTTTAAAATTACTAAATCTTAAAATCAATAATATAAATATTACTAGGCAAACAACTGTAAACTTTTTAGGTATTATTTTAGACGAAAATTTAACATGGAGGAAACATATAAGCACTCTTGAAAGAAAACTTTCAATAAACATTGCAATGATGTATAAAGCAAAACCATTTTTGGATATAAGATCTTTAAAAAGTTTATATTTTTCCTTTATACATAGCTATTTAACTTACGGCAATATCGTATGGGCAAGCACCAGCTACGCTAAGTTAAAGAAAATTTATACTAAACAAAAACATGCATGTATTTGGAGTAAAAAGAACTGTGTCTTGTGAGCCACTTCTACGTAAATTCAATGCATTAAATGTGTTTAAAATCAACATATTCCTCGTCATACAGTTCATGTATCAAAAACATGGACTGTCTCCAGCAATATTCTATCCTTATTTTAGAGAAGTAAGCCATAAATACCCCACCAAGTTCTCAGAAAATAACTTTGTAACTCAAAAATAATCTTAAGTTATGTTCTTATTCTATTCAGTATCCGGGACCAATTTTGTGGAAAAACTTTCAGCATATTGCTAATATTAAAAAAAAAACATTTCCGCAATTCAAAACTAAATTAAGACGTTGTTTAGTACTTAAGGATTCTAATTTAGCAGATCTTCTCTGTCACTTTTAAAATTTATTAAACTAAATTCGCACCATAAATTTAAAAATCTAGACCATTTAACAATATTAAGAATTTCAATGTCTTTATCATACTTTCATTGAAAATATATACTCTTAAAGTTACCTACAACTTTCTTGATATATTTTATGATATTGGAACAGAAATTTTATTTGAATTATTTTGAAAGAAAATAATATATACAATATATATATCGAAACACATTCCGTTTTTAACCAAAAACAGAAAATATTTGTCATTTTTATTACTATATTTTAATCATTCCTTTTTTTTTTTTAATTATTATTTTAATGGTTTTTTTTTTTTAATTTTATTTCTTAACATTTTAAAATTGTCTTTTTTTAAATGCTGTTGCTCATATATTACGGATATTTATTTGCGTTACTATTGGGGCTCGGTGATAAGGCTAATTTATGCCTTCTTCTTGCTCCAGCCAATCGTACTTTTTATATTGTTGTACTTTGTGAATATTTTTAAAGGCGAAATAAACTAAAAAAAATAAACTAAAAAAAAAAAGCATTAATAATCTCAATCGCACTCTGTAAAAAATATTTTTTATTTGAGAAAAATTTCCCCTAAATTAGTGAAAGAGATTAAACAATTTTTAAACAGCTCAAAATTTGGGTTGTTCTTGTAAGAATGTCATCAATACTATTAATTTATTTACTAGTACATATGTACAAAGAAATACTAAAAAACGTCATATTGTTAAATGCCATGGAATACCTTTCTTTGGAAATTCTTAGAAGACAACGACCCCAAGCTCACTGCTAAAAGTGTGGTTTAACGCTAACAAGAATAATGTTTTTGAGTGGCCCGCAGTCACCACAGTCACCAGACCTAAATCTGATAAAAAAAACAAACTGTCGGAGTAAGTTGACAGAAACATAAATCGATCGACCGAAACTGACTTTAGATCAAAATAAAAGCAGCTTGGGGCGCCATTACGATGCCGAAAACTGAACTCGTCAATGGGTCGTACTTCTCAAGCATTTATTTACTCAAAAGGATACATCACTAAATACTAGTTGACATTAAATTTAAAGTTTTCTTAACTAATCATTACTTTAGAGCATAAAGGACGTTCGAGAAAGTCATGTAAAAAGGTGAGATTTATATCTTGGATAGTATTAGTAAGTTGAATTAAAATTTAATAAAATTTTGTTAAGTTATAAATTGTCTTTCTTTGTCGTTAGGAAACTAAAAAGTACTTCAAGTTGTTACTTCAGATACCTTACCATTAATAATTTTTTTAAATATTTATTTAAATCTATTTTTGTTTCTGTTTGGAAAAGTTTCATCACGGTAACATGGCACGTATGAATACATAGAAATGAAACTCTTGGATCGCAGAAACGGGTGACAAAATTTATGTAGACAAACATAATAGATTCAGAGATCGTATTGTGCATAAATTTTTAAATTTAAAATAATGAATTATTGCTTATATAAATTCACACTTTTTATCAGTTTCTCTAGACCACTATCTAGACCACTATCCCAAAAAAATCCAACAGGGGATTCAAAATCAAAACGCGGCAAATCGCTTATAACTACTTTATAATTCATATAATTAATAAGAAATTACGATCAATATTTCCAAAAAATTTACACGTGATCATAAAACAACAACAAAAAAAATTAAAACGAACTAGTTAGAAAAAATATGCAACTTAAAAAAAAAATTGAAAATTTAATATAAATAATTATAATTAAGTTTAAGAAACTAATTATTAATTTTTATGTTTAGAAACTATAAATATGTATAAAAAATACGCATAAAAAAGCTCATAAAATCTATAGCATCGGAATATCACTTGTATGACTGATGATAGTACTATTTTGAGATTCGTTTTCAGAATTCGTGATCATTGATTTTGTCATTACATCAGAAGATACGTCTATCATTTCTTCATCAGAAGATCCATCTAATCTCTATTAATGTAAACATACGTTTAAAGCCTAAGATGGATAAACAATTGTTATTCTGAAAAATTAAAAATGTGATCATAAAGTTCATCAACATATTTAAGTTTAGTAAAACTTTAGAAATCATTACTTTCTGGTCTTCACTTTTAAGAAACTTTAATAAAAATATTCTTAAAATAAAGTTCTTGGTAATGATTAGCAGGAACCATGATTGTTTCAAGATTTTTTATCAAGTAAAATAAAAATTACTTTACCAAATACATTATAATTTGTAAGTATTTAGTAAATGTTTTATAATTACATTTATAATATGTTATAAATATTTTATCAAATTATTTAAGAGAAGATTTTATATTGGATAGCATTTTAGTTAATATTTTCTTCTATGAAAAATTATATACATATATATATATATATATATATATATATATATATATATATATATATATATATATATATATATATATATATATATATATATATATATATATATATATATACATATATATATACACACACACACACGAATGGTCATCCTTTTTCAAAGTTATCAAAGTTTTACTCACTATTGGGAGAGAAAATGAAAGCAAAAATGACCAAAAAAATCCAGTATTACATATTCTTGACATTCTACTTAACAACTCCTCCAATTTGTCGAAGTCAATTTTATTTCACTCACTATTAAGTTTTTTCCACGTATCCTTTGCACCATTAGGAATTAGTTTTTTTACATTTCTTTTGTTGGCATTTATGAGATTCTTAAGTCTAGAATGCACATTCTAAAGATTCTAAAGTCTATCTGCACATAGAAAGAATGCAGTAAGTTCATAAACTATTCTATAATAACTTCTTAGAAATTCTATAGTAATTTCTGAGAAATTCTGAGATCTTGAGCTTGTAGGTTCTAAAGCTAAAATCCAAAGATTAAAGATTAAATTATTTTTTGCGCACTTATTGTTAGATATTTGATATTTTCTGCAGAATTATACCTTAAATAATTCAATTTAAAATATTTTTTTGACTTTTAAATTATCTTCACTTGTCTTATTCAATTTAACTAACATTGTCGAAGCCATTCATTATTAAATCATATGGTTTTAAACATCTTTGCTAGGTTTTTTAATTGAAATTTTTGAACTAAATGATCTTGATCTCCATCTCACTCAGATTCAGAAAAGTGATTTGTTTCCTGTTCTTCATTATCATCATTTTTACATGATGTCAGAAGGTGTTTATTAGAAATAGCTTATTTTTAATAAGAAAACAAATAATAAGAAAAAGATGAAGGAAAAATAAACTAAAATTTTCAAAAAAAATGTGCATGAACTATTGTTTTATAAAGTACAGCCTCTGTACTTTAATACCTAGTCTCTGCCTAGTATTGACTGCGCATCAGAGTAAACTAGATCATTACTCTCTTATGTTTTAGTTGGCATCTAATGTTGTCCAAAGAAATTTTTTACTTGTTGCTGCTCATACTAATGATAAACTAATGGTACCGTAATATGTCACAATTTTTAGGAAGTTGTCTGTTAGGTCATCTTATGTTATGTCTCTCATTGGATATTTTAACAGACAAAGAAAACGTTTTTAATTTTTTTCTACTGTTAAACATTATATATATATATATATATATATATATATATATATATATATATATATATATAACAATTACATAACATTATATATATATATATATATATAACAATTATATAACAATTAATTTCAGAAAATTTGAACGTTATCTAGGTGGTCCACCAAGCAAACAAAGTTTTGGATATAATCGGAAAATTAGCTATATTTAAAATTAATTAACATGTTCTAAAATTACATTAATTAAGCTTTTTAATTAAACAAATTTAATTAAACAAAGCTCATTTATTGAGCTAAAACACTTATTATGATAAGCAGTTACACAGCAAACAGTGAGGCTAACAAACTAAGAATATTTGTATAAACTTGAGTTTGAACAAAAGGCAATCAAACGCCAATGAAAACAGTGTCAGTCAGTCATTCGATTCATTTCTTGCATTTTCTAATGTCTGGCTGCATTTTACGATCTTTCTCAACAACCTGCAAGACATTTTGATAATGTTCTTCACACTTGGCTGTTGATATGAAGTCTGAGCTGAGCTTCACCCCTCTCTCCGCACTGTCATTCACCACATTCAATGCTTGAATGTTAATCATTGAAACCTGATATGAAGCGCAACTAGGCCAGCTCACAATGTCTTCAGTCAGAAACTTGGAGTCAAGCTGCAGGATGTTAAACAAGAACCACGAATCAATTCCCACCAGATCAGAAAGCGTTGTTGATAATGTAATTGATTCAGGAAAATCTGGTTTTCCAAATCCTGTACAAAAACGGTGCTTTGGTTGAAACATAACAATATCTGGTTTGATTGCCAGAAGACGGTCAGCAAGAGCTCTCTGCTCGGTAGGTGGAACTTTATTGCTCCAAAGTGCAAGAGACACCATTTCTTCGGTTAAATACCATAGATGTCATTTAAACGCTCTCAACGCACTCTCTGATATCTTAGGGTGTACATCTGCATACATCAACAATGATCGGAATAGCATGAGATCATTCCATGGCGCGTCTGTAACTGAACTGCACGTCATCCACCAGACACTATATATCAGGGTAGAGAAGTTGACAAAATCTCTCACCACTCATCTCTGGCAATTTGTGCTTTTGTAGTTATTGTGCCGATTAAAAGATCACAAATCTGTTCTTCAAATAGACAGATTTTAATTGAATATATGAGCTTCCCCATCCATGGGGCTTTGTGTAGTGCTCCAGGGCGCTTAAAGGTCAGTGTGTGTCCTTCTTTTTCAAAATCAAGAAAAATAGTGCACAACTCGACGAATTCCAGACAGTCATCTCTACGATAATCTAGTTCCGAATGAGCAAGTTTCATAACATTTTATCTACAACGGTCAGTGAACGTTTTAGCTTTTTCAGAAAAGGAGGTGGATTCAAACCTTGACAGTCAATCAGCTGGATGCGATTGAAGTAGCTGAAAGTGTTTACAAAATCTTGTAAACAGAGTAATGTCTAGCGATTTTGAAACTTCGATTTGGAGGTGGGAAAACACATGAGTTAAGATTGTCTCTCCAACATGATGTCGATACGCATTCTAAAGAAGACACCGACCCAAGCATTGCTGAATGGTCACACAAGCTGCAGTGACATGCCCTGTGTTTGATGCAGTTGTGTCAAATGCCATGCAAATGATAGAGTCGGTGCAGTTCCATGACTTTAGGTCGACTGTTAAATCTGCAATGATATCACCAGACTTTCTATCTGTTCCAGGTTCATATGCTGGAACACCAAGTAGCTTCATTTCGTTAGCAGTTCCTACTAGAACAAAGAGACGCTCCTCAGAAATGTTTCTGTTGGACAATGACATTTGTTTGAAATCCCAGTGCAGAGTTGCAAGTTTAGGAGGAATCCACTCATACCTGAAAGATTCTGCAAGGTTCTTTCCCACTTTCTGCCTGGATTTATCAGCATAAGAATATGATGCAGAAACCTTAGTTGAATCGCCTCCTGCTTCCTCAATGAGAGCCTCAGTGTAAATTGCCTGCTGCGCTGGTGTCAATTTTAAACGGGTTGCTAGTGCAACAAGCCTTGGTCGTTGCACAATGTCATGTGGTATGAAGGCAGGAGTTTCAGTGGGGGTATTACGACGATGGCTTCTATTTAATAACTTGCTTCATAAGCAAGAGGTTCCGAGTTTGATCCCCACCACGATCAGTCTTCATCGACTGCAGGAACTTCATGTCTTCTGAATTTTTTACAAGCAGTTCCACATTTGCCGGCCACAGAGGAAATGTCTTTGCTAGCATACATTCCGTCTCCTGTAACTTCTTTATAGAACCGGGCATGGATCTACGTTTCAAAGGCATTGCTCGGATCTTGGCTTTGTCATCAAGAAGTTTAATGATTTTTTCGCATGCTTTATGTTCACTAATTATTGGAATATTAGCCTTATCATAAAACAGCTTCAGCTTTGCCAAGACAAGTTTTGCTTACTCCCATCTAGTTCGATTTGTACTAGCTCCGTCATCAAGGTGGTCCATTAAACAGCGCAACACTTGACGAGAAGTTGGAAGCCGACACCCAGTTAATTTTGCACCATCTTCAATTATCTTGCTCCCAAGCCCAAATATGATGGCTGATTTTCACGTGGCTATCTTCTTGATGTCTTGATTGCCAGATGAACTAGGGGTAGGAAGTGTTTGAAGTACTGCTGTTGGGTCAATTTTTTGCTGCTTCACTCATACTGGTACAGACTAAAGTGCTGCTGGTGGTATTCATAATATCCAATTATCCGTTAAACTTCTTACTCTTAGTAATTTAAATTGTTAAATATTAATCTAAAACAGAAAACTATAATTTAATTTGATTATCTGACAATTATAACACCTATAAATAAATAATCACTGATGAAATCAAATATAAACAACATTTATGTAATATATGTACTAACTACTAAGTACTAACTAGTAACTGCATAATACAAAATCTCTTTTAATTTTTCAGTTTTACACAATATAAAATATATAATTTATTTCAGAAATATTTACTATTTAGACTAGCACATGAAATTTGAAACAAAGATGGCAACAAAGAACTAGTACAAGATCTGTTGAAATATTATGTACGGTGGCCAAGAAGTGATAATTATAAATTAAATATATTGAAAAACAAAATTATTTATATTTATTTTAATTATATTTATTAAAACAAAATGATTAGATTAAAATTTACCTATAGTCCTATATATATTATATATTTTTAATTATTATAATCGAAAAAAAACCATATTTATTTAAAATACTAAAGAATTTTGCATTCGTTCTGGTTCTTTCACGTATGTTGAATTTTTCGTTGGACAGGTGCAGTTTTGCACTTGTCCAAACACCTGCCAATACTATGGCTGGCACTTCTTTAAGTGCTTTTTAAGCTTCTTTAACTCGCCAAAAAATTTCAAGCATGTTTTTAAATTGCAACAAATCTCTTTTTTTAATCAAATTCTAATTAAAGAGGTACAAAAAACAAATATTTTTAAAAATCGCGCACGCCAGACAAGTAATTACTGTCCAGACAGCACTTTTTTGTGCGCTGGCGGTAAATTTCAATCGGAAAAGACTAAAAAGTATGTGTGAAAATATTTTGTTTCCGCGTTGTTCATAAAATGTATGAAAAACATTATGCATGATTGTTATCAAATACACATTAAAGTTTGCGCTCAAGACCAAAGTAATTTGTTTTTAAAACATCTTAAGCTACTCTAAATACATATCTAAAACACATTTTATACATATTTGTGCTGACTGGGTAAGCTCTGTCCTTCTATAATGGCAACTTGAGAATGTTGAAACTCTCCTGATATGTTATGCTATGTAAGTGAATATTATATTGAAAAAAAAGCAGGTATTACATAAGATAGTGTAAGGTACCATATCATAGATGTGAATTCCAAATATTTGGAATACCCATGGGTGATCAAAACAAATCACATGCCCCTCATTTAATATGTGGAACCTAACAAACTATTCTAGTAGAATGGCTATGAGGTAGAAGAAAGGCAATGCTTTTCGCCGTTACCAGCATATGCAGAGAACCGAAGAACCAAAATAAGCAATTTGATAACATACAAAAAAAAATCTGGTAGTTAGGTCTATAAAATTATGTAGCTTACAATATATGAGGTCTAAATTTAATTCTGTGAGAAATATAAATGCCATCCCAAAAAACTTTAAATTTACTAATATAGCATGCAAAACTTGTCCAGGTTGACTCTATAAATCTTGTAACTGGTAAATAGCCTGTTGATCAAAGTGATCCAAGCTTAATTTTAATAAAAGAGATGAATTCTCTGACCAAAAAACTGATATTTAAATGTGAATTAAACTCACCATATATTCTATTTTTACTAACTTTTGGTGTATTCAAACCGATGTAACAAAAAGAAAAGAAAATTACTGAAAGAAACAAAAGTTAGAGTATAAAAATATAAACAATCTTATTCTATAAACAGAATAGAAAGTTGGGTTAAGCAACCAGTAATTACCCAGTTTTTGAATAATAAATTTCATAAAAAAGATGCATAAACCAAGCAAAGAGTTTTTAATACTATTTTAGTATGATGCCATCAACTATTTTTCACACTGACCTAATTGCGCAGTGAAAAAATTTTTGTATGAAAAAAAGCAAAATATTTTTCTTATTGAAATTAAAAAGAATAATCGATATGATAGGAAAAATATTTTTTATATTCAAATAATAATAAATTGATAAATAATAATAATAAATTGATAAATAATAATAAATAATAATAATAAATTGATAAATAATAATAAATAATAAAAAGTCTCTATAATTTTTTTTTGGTTATAAAAATCAATAAAACATAAAACTTGGAGTTTCTTTTTGCAGGTTGCTAATTTTATGGTTTTATTATTTTTTTTACCATAAAATACTATTAAAAGGAATATTATTGATTATTACAAAAATAACAAAATTGTTACCAAAAACTACCATGGTTCACGATTTTAGTAAACACCAGTTTACTAAAAAATGAACTAAATTCAAATGCTTCTTAACATTTGATTAGTGTAAAAATAAAAATAAAAGTAAAAATAAAAATACCTGGTTATCTCTTTTCTCATAAACTTCGTTAACTAACTGTGTATGAGGAGGTTTCGAAAAACAAGGGCATATAGAAGAACATATACCAGGGAGAACTAATGATCCACCATTGTTAGTAAATAATGGTTTCATATATCTTTATAAAGGTAAGAAAATTTATATTGCAGTCATGTAATTCAGAAACTTTAAATAATGTTAAACTAAATTAAATCATACGTTTCTTTATGATTTTCAACATTTTAAAAATATATTAATGGTTACAACATTATAAAGATGTAATGAGAATGAGTAAGAAAAAATTGATCAAGGAAATGATTTTTCATGAAACTTTTCAACCATTGACCAAAAGAAGCAACCATTGACCAAGAAAAAAAATTATTAGATAAAAAAGAAAAAATCATTGGTGGAATAAAATATTTAAAAACAAATTTTTTCTCCGTGTAAAAATTCTAAAAAAAATGATGAACCAGTTTTGGATTTTTTTTTAAAAAAAAAATTATTTCTTATAAAATTATAATAATTCTTAAAAAAGAACCAGAAAAAAAATCTACCGCATTTTTGTTTATGTCTATTTTTACATACCTTTAAAAAAAAAAAAAAAAAAAATTTTCACTTTTATATAATATTGCCGGTTCAGCATTTTTAAAGAAATGGAAAAATAAACTCACTTTTTCATATATATTCATAAGACTATCACTTTTTAATACACTGCTCCATTTTTTGTTGCTGCTCACACTTAAAAACCATTTTTAAATGTTTAAAAACACAGTAAGAACTATATAAATTTGCTATTTAAAATTAAAGAAATATCAAACTGTTTTCAACTAAACAAACTAAACTTATTTCTTTGTCTTTATGAACTAGTCATTATTAGACCTTAAATCTTAAAAATGCAAAACAAATAGAACGCAAGAACAAAACAAAAACCACCAAAATATTTACAATCAAATCAAAACTCTAAAATGTGGTAAAATATTTCTTTTACCATGTAAATATTATTAAAATATGCGTTGAATAAATTAAATTTAAAAAATGTTTTGTTGCATCAGAATACTTTATTTTTTCAAATTTTAATTCTTTTTTTAATGTTGGACAATAAAACATTCACATAAAAAATCAATAATTAAAAAAAAAGTTCAGAATGGCTCAAAAGCACTTTATTAAACTGTCTTCAATAAATAAATTTGTTTTTGAATTATAAAATACACCATTCATATAAATCAACTGTCTGCTGCTTTTATTTGAGAATTCATTAAATAAGTTTAAGCACCATAAATGGCTATTCCACGTTATCACGGCAAGACATTTGACTTTTTTTTTTTTTTTGGGAAAAACATCAGATTTTAGCCAATTTATAATTTAAAAATTAAAGATACTGAAAAATTTTCATATATATTACAGTTTCTAAAAACAAAATTTTTTAGTTTTAATATTTTATAGACTTTTAGGTATATGCATTAAAAAGTTGAAAATTATCTAGCATTTTCTGTGATTAGAAGAAATGACAGTAGTTCAGCTCTTGTGGATATTTTGAAATATTTTTTTGTTATGTCTTGGATACTTTAAAGGTGTTATAATAGTTTCATAACACTTTAAAAATATTTTATAAATTTAAATGGAAACACCACATAAATATATCAACAGAGTTCATGTCACAACGTGACGTCACAGTGTGATCAGTACAAAATCTTTGAATATTAAGTCAATAACATTATTAAAAAGACAGTTGAAACAAAAGAAACCAATTTATTTGGATTTTTATAAGATTGGTATAACAATAATGTTTAACAAAACAGTTTATTTACAATAATTTCAAAAAAATTTTGAAATTATTGTAAATAAATTTAATTACGTTTTTTTAATAAATTTTATCTAGTTAACTAACTATGATGTACTTTAATAAGGTTTCATTTCCATTTTATCATTAAACTGTTTTAAGCAATGGGTACTAAATATTCCAAGCGTTTTACAAGCATTGTTAATGATATTTCCAAGTTCTGTGGCATCAAAAGCAGTTTTCATTTTTTCAGCAGCAACCATGAAAACGTTTACTTGATTTTCATCTCTGATGGCTTTATAAAATGCTGTTGCGTCATTAATCAGAGCTTCTCTTCGAACAATTTTTTGTGTTATTAATCTTTATATGGTTGCTCCTATGCCATCGCATGGCCCTTTACCATGAGAGGTTGAAAAGTAATTCCAGCAAATTTTAATTTTGTGCTTGCTTTCAAGCCATGAAATTGAAGCTATTATGCAACAATTTTTAAATTGACTGCTCGGACCATCAGACCAAACTTGCAAGTATTTTACATCCTTTCTAATAAGGTTAGTTATTAACAAGTCAATAAAATAAATAACTGAACTTCTTGAATGGTTCAAATCATCAGAAATAATAACGGCAGATTTACCAGAGTCACCGTGCCAGCTAACAGCAGTAAATAATGTTACTAATTTTTTGTTCCAATGTACTGACTGAACTTCATCCTGCCAGAAAGTTGAAAGGTTTTCTGCAAAATCAACTAGTAACAAAACTGAATTAAGATAGCTTTTTAAAACATTTTTTTGGTTTTCATAACTGATTGATTGTTTTCCTTTTATAAAATAATGCAAAAGAAATTTGGGTAGCATTTTGCAAACATTTTTTTTTTTCATACAAAATTATGGCTTTGTCTTTTTTTATTGCTTTTTTGAGGTACTTAGTTCCATTAAGTTGCATAACTTTCTCCCAAAGGTACCAGGTAATTTTTGAGAAATAGCTTTCTGTCCTTACAAGCTTCACAAAAATTATTCCAACAATTATAACATTTCTCGTCACACACTAAAGTAAAGCATGCGAATAAATGGGGAATTTTTAAATCAATGAAATGTAATGCTTTGAGTGACAAGATGTTTTCATGTTTTTGACAAACATTTTTAGGCATTAAGCTTCATAAAAGTATATGGCCTGGTCTCAAACTAGCAAACCTGGATTTACTGATTGAAAAATCAGTGTGTTTGTTTTTAAATATTTGATATGCTTCACTTATATTCATAGCTAAATACTTTTTTTGCATTTTCTTTTTTTCTTTATAACTTCTTAAAACAATCTTATCTCTTACTTCAGGTGCCTGACGGGATATACCATCTTGTTCAAAAAAATCAATGAGACATAGCTTCGTTTCATCATTAAGTATTAAGTCCATGTGTTGGTTGCATATCTGGTAAATCTTTGTTAAACTGAAATGCAAGTTGTTTAATAACAGTTGCTTTTTTAAGAGGAAGAAGAGAAGTTGGAAGAGCACATATTTCTTATTTAACAGCTTTACCAAGTGTTCAACATTAAAATTTCTTTTTTCTTTTTACCGGATTGAGTCCTTTTCCTTTATAAATCCGGACCAAGCATATGTCAGAGGCATTTTCATTACTTAAAACAAAGAAATAAACAATTTGTTTGTGAAAGTTTACATTCAGAATAACTTCAGCAATGGCGCGACAAAATTTAAGAAAAACTAAATAACAAAGTTGTTAGTAAACAATGTTTAAATATTTACAGGTACACCTACAAGTTTAATAAAAAAAAAAACTATGTTAGTTATATTAATAAAGGTTTCAAAACTTATCCACAAATACAAAACAATAAAAATACTACAAATGTTAAACCAACATGTTTTTTGCGTAACATTTTTATAAAAATTAGTCTTTAAAAAATTTAAATTTGAAAAATGTCACGCCATGTCACAACGTGACATTAACTTAAGACACATAACACAAAAGTTAAAAATATTTAAATTTAAATATCTATTGATATTTATTGCCCTATATTAGTTACAAGCAATTTATATTCTTTACATTATAAAGAATTATCACCTTGAGAAGTTGAATTGAAAAAATAAAAAATAAAAAAATATATATTCATTTAAAATAAATAAATATTCTTACGCTAGAATGAAAAATGTTACTATTAGTATCACAGCGTGACATGTCACAGCGTGACAAACTTAAAGAAGACGAAATAGAAATTTCTCAATGAAAGACTATTTAATTAATATAATAAATTTTCAATTTGAAAAGCAAGAGCCCAATCTATATTTTGCGTGAGACAAATCTACATAGAAAATTAAAAAAGTTAAAAAAAAAAAAAAGTTTCAAAATGATTTACTAGAAAAATAATTTTGTCTAAAATTTTTTAGACTTTAAAATTTTAAAGTCTAAAAAATTTTGTTTAAAGTTTAAGCACCAAACTGTAAAATTCTTCGAAAACCAGTTCTACATGTTACATGTTTTTAGAAACTACAAATCTTCAACTTTTGAATGATACATTTAGTTTTTTTATTACTAGGATTTGAAATTTATATTAAACTTTTTGTACAACGTGGAATAGCCCAAAAATAGTTTTGAACAATTACCTAGGCTCTTCAGAGATATTATATGCTAGTTGCAAAATTTTTACTGATGGCAAAACAAAGAATGCTAAAATATTTGGCTATATATCTATAAGATATAGTTCAGAACATCTTTTAAACTCTTATGATAAAAATTTGACACTTAGATAACAATATCTGATTACCAACAATTAAATAACAACAATGTTAACAAATTTTGTAACCTCTAATTTACTTCTAATTTTGTAACCTCTAAATTTTGTTCCACCCAACAATCTTTAAATTGTAAAATAACAATGTTTTCCAGAATACATACTAAGAATTATTAACAACATTTTGAGGAAGTTTTAAGCATTTCACCATCATACAACAATACTCTTAGCATCATTCAACCCTTAAAACAGTTGTCAAAACAATTTATTGATTTATTGAATAATCTTTAAAAACTTACATTATATTAATAAAGTAGTTAAATAAATTAAGAGACAAAAGTATTTATAACTCAGCTAGCCTCTGCTTCAGCCTTTAAACCCTCTATGCTTGGATTAGAGGCATGGAATGTCTATTTAAAATTTGCTACAAATCAACAATGAAGAAGTGGACTACAAAATCTGATAATCAAAAAAAAATCATTTTTTAAATAAAAAAAAATCAAAATTAATAAAGAATTTATGACAAAGTTGGACAGGTGATCTAGATCTAATAAACTCTAGGTCATTCAAAAATTGAAACACTGGAAGAATATTATGTAGATAAGAAAGCTGAAAATTTTAAACTTACATAATGATTATTGTTATTTTTTGTATATCCAAGTGTCTATCTTAGTGTCTACCTGGTCATCTAAGTGTTTACTGATCAAAATCAGTAAACATTTAAATGACCAGGTGTTTACTTAAGTGGTCATTCATATGACCACTTAGATGACTCTCAAATCATAATAAAATAAAAAAACTCAGGTTAATCAACTCATTATTCACATAACTCATATATAACAAATTATTCATATGAAAAGATACTTGATATCAAAGTAATGCCATTTGCGAACCAACCAAGAACGCTCATAAGATATATCCTCAACTTCCTCACCTCTGCTATTCTAAATAGTATAAGATTTCATTTTAGTAATCAAGTAAAAATCAAAATCAATAATATCACATAATATTATATCACCATACCAATCTGGTTTCTTTAGAAATTTCATCATCTGGGTCAACATTAACTCTAAAATAATATTTATAAATAAATTAAATACAAATAATAGAAAGAAAAAAAAACTGTTAAAAATAAAATAACAACTATAGATACGTACTTTATACCAAGTTTCATTAACGCATAAGTGGTCAAACTTCCATTAAATACAACTGTGGCAATAGCAATAATCAAAGTACTTGTAAGTATGAGCTGTCTTGCAGCACTTTCAGTGTTTCTAATAGCTAAAGCAAAAGCCATTGCTCCTCTTAAACCTAAAATCAAAAAAATTAACTTGAGTTTCTAAATTTAACTGGTACAGTCAAATTTGTTTCCAATCCATGTATGTATGAGATAATGAGCACAGACTTGTGGAGTGGAAAGTTTTTTTACGACTCCAGCTCCTAAGAAAAGTCTGGCTTTGGCTCGGTTCCTGGACTTTATAAACAAAAATTGCAATTTTTGGATCAAATTTGCCTACCTAAAACCGAACCAATTACAGCAATTAATTTTTAATGTATTACTGAATGTAATAATGTAATTACTGTAATGTAATAATGTAACTGTATTAAGGTGAATGTATTACTATCACTAATCTACTACCGCATATTACATTTAAAAAGAAAAATGTTTTTGGTAAATATATACAGGGGTGAATTCAGCATTTTGGTATTTTAGATAGCTAACTTCCTAACATGGAGCAAACACCAAACATTTATATGTTTATACTGATGGCAAATAATAATGCTTTGTAAAAATTGTGATGATTGGAGCCTGGGAACAAAAAAGCCCTAAAATTTTGGCCACAACTGCCTTTTTTTTACTATTCTCAACTAAAGTTATGTTCATTTATAAATTTTAAATTTCATACTTATCCTTATATATTAAAAGATTATGTATTCATTTAGATATTAATACTTTAATTTAATGTTTAACATTTAATGTTCTTAGTTACTATTTAATGCGCTTAGTTACAATTGTTATAACAAATGTAATTGGTTTAAAAAGAATCTGTTAATGTGTAATTGGCTATATATAATTTAATGCGCTTGTGAGAATTATTAGTTAACTGACGTCTAATTAAATTGTTTTAAATTTTTGATTTGATATTGCAAAAAGCAGGTAATATATTTGATTTGAAGCAGGTAATATATTTGATTTGAAATTACTATTTTATTTGTTTAAATTGTTTTTTTTCTTTTCCAAACTTTTTTGTATCACTAAAGTTAGTAAAAATATATTTTAAATTTATTTAACATATTGAATATTATATCTTATGTAAAGGGCTACATGCCTATTCAGTAGCTACGCTGCAGACTATGGGCTATGGGGTAGCTATGTAGTACCTATATAGCAGGTAATGTAGTAGCATGCTGTATAAAAGCTATGTATTGGGCAGTTAGCCCGTGGGCTATGTAATACCTATGTAATCAACATTCCTAATTGGTTTTTATGGATCAACCAGCCTTTAGAATAAAAATGTTTAAATAAAATTATTTGATAGCTGAAAACAGTAGTATGATCTAACCAGTAGTTTAATCTGCTACAGCCACACAGATTCAAAATTTATTACACCCAAATGTGTCTGCAATTTATAGTTTGTTTACAACAACAAACAAGCTATTTTAAAACTCGCTAATGCCGATTTATTGTCAATCAATCAGTAAGTGCTCGAATGTTTACCTGGAGATCATTGCATTTTTAAGTGCTGATTAAATTGAGATGAATGACCATAATAAAAGAAACAACTTTCCTGTTCAGTTTTTGAATAACTTTATTCTTTAAGTAATGCCACTTCATTGTTTAAAATTTAAAATTGGTTGTGTTATCTAGAAATTTATCTGGTGATAAATAGGTATTTGCTTATCAAGTTCTGTTGACTCTATCAGATTCTAATTTTTAACTTTGTTCTGAAAAGACATCAGGTCAAACATTTGATGGAGTTAGTGTATATAAAAAAAAAAAAATTGCGTTTCTCTCATCGTAAATTATATGTTGACGATGATTTTATTAACACCATAGTAAAATTTGTTTAAACCACTAAATCTGTAGTGTTGTTAAAAATTTTTTTCTTTTTGAATAAGACTTTATAGTTGACTATTTTTACCATTAATACCAATGCAAAAATGATATTAGAATAAAGTAATTTTTGCCGATGTAACATATTTTTATTTTAATACATGTTTAATCCTATCTGTGAAATTTTATAAACATTTTAAGTTATTATAATATGGTTTTCTTAATAATAAGCTTTGTTTGATTCACCCATCTTGTAGATGCCGGCTGATTTTGAAATGCACCTTCATAACAGAAATTGTGATGTCTTCAACATTAATTGTTTACTAAGATTGATAAATGTTGAAAAATGTTGCGTTTTAGTCAAGTTTTTTTTGTTTTTGTTTTTAAACTTATTACAAAAATACATATTTTATTTTGTTACATATTTAACTTTATATAATTGATATATCTAAATAAATTTGTTTTAAAAATATTTGAATTCAGACTTTTTGTTTTTATGGATTCTTTAAAAAGTAACTTGTAAACACAAGCTTAAAAAAAATACTTTTTAAGATTTATAAATATTTTTAACCTTTTTAGTAATATAGTCTATATTTTTAGTAATTTTTAGTCTATACAGTAATTGAAAAAAGTTTCAAACAAGCTAACTAGCTCAATCCAAAATTATGTTGAATGCAAGGCAAAATTTATTACGGATATTTTCCGCTATATATTTTTCGCATTTTAAAAACATGATCCAGATAACGCTAACAGTATTTTTTTTATCAACTTAACAATTTTTTTAATTGGAATAAAAACTTTAAAAACTAAGTACAAATCGATTTATTAAGATATGCAAAATTTTAAAACATTTTAACAATTAAAAAACATTAAAAAACATCATGAAAACATGTGACTTGATAATAAACTTAAATAAATTTCTGTTATTATTTATTATTACTTGATTATTGTTGACTAATCAAATGCAACAATATGAACGATGGCATAATAAACAAAATTAATTTATAAATTAGCGCTTTTTCACAAGCAAACAAAAACAACAATAAAATCAATTCTAGTAATTCAAGATATGAATATCTTTTTGTCATTAAATCACACATCAAATATTTAACAGCGTAATATCAATATAAAATATAATATATAACAATATATGTAAGCAATATACTGTAAAAATGTTTCCATTTATAAGTTTTTTTTTTAAATAAAGCATATAAGGAAATGCCATTAAAAAATCATTATAACTATATTTGCATAACTATTTATTTGTAATAGAAATACTATCTACTTATTTGTAATAGACATACTATCTATTTATATGTAATTGACATACTATCTATTTATATGTAATAGACACACTATATAATTTATATGTAATTGACATACTATCTATTTATATGCCACTTTTAACTACCTGTTTTTTAACTGTAAATGTTATTGTTGTTTAAATTTTATTGTTTTTTAACTTCATTTTGAACAAAATCTTTTTATAAAATTTTAAAACAATTAACTAGTTGTTTTAGGTCTTTTGCTTTGAAACACTTTTATTTACTTTTTGGGATAAAGCATACTTTATCAAGCATAGTTTACCAAGTTAATACTTAATCAAAATTTAAAACCAAGTTAACAGTTAACCAAAGATAAAATCAAGTTCAAACTTATTCAGGGTGGCCACTTAAATTTGGAAATGAAATTCCATGATTTTACCATGATTTTTCTTTTATTTATATATATATATATATATATATATATATATATATATATATATATATATATATATATATATATATATATATATATATACCACGTCCACCACGTCCCTGGTAGTACCGCGCTCAACTTGTTTCTCCGTCCATCGGCCTTGTTTGTCAAGGTTCGTGTTTCGGAGTTATAGAGTTGAGAGAAGGTTATAGATACAAAATAAGTAGCCTCCTTATCTGTAGTGGCCTTCTCGGCCTTGAGGAGGTGAAGTAAAATAAAATATATATATATATATATATATATATATATATATATATATATATATAAGCAACCCTTGGAATTAGGGTCAGCTTTGGCAATGCCAACCTAAAAGTGTTTGGGGTTGGCAACAAATTGCCAATCTTGTTTTTATGTTTCATGGTAACCCCTTTTTTTTCTGATCTAATGCCAACCTCTAACAGTTTGAGATCGGCAATTAAATGCTGATCTCATTTTTTCTAATTCGGAGGGTTGATATATAGACAGGCCTTAGCGGAGAAAAACTCTCCTAAAATGAACATGGCAGGCCGTGCAAGCTGCTCCTCTAAACAGCTTCTTTCGAGAGATTTTGGTTTTTGCACAAACTATCTTTTTATTCACTAAAAAAGTTGCTTATTAAATACAAAATTTGGTTTTATACTTGCTACAAGCCTCAGGGCACAACAAATCATTTTTTTTTAAATGAACGTTGACGTTTGTATCTTTATTTAATGACAAACCTCTAATTTAAGAGATATATGTCATATAAGGAAGTTATATTATATTAGTTATATATTTTCAAATAAATTTTATTCTAGTTATTATTAGATATAATAAAGGTGCTTATTGAATTTAATAAATTTATATTTTTTTAAAACAATTTTTACGCATTTGCAATGCTAAACAATACTAAACAATGAATTTTTCTCAATTTAGTTCGCTAAAATTATTTACAAATAAGAAAATGTATAAACTTGAAGAAATTAAAATTAAAAGAGCAAAAAATAAAATAAAAGTTGTTTTAAAAAATAACTATGTAAAAAATAATAAATGTTAAAAAGTAATTAAAAAAAAATTATAAAAACACTTCAAAACAAAACAATAATAAAATACGCAAAAAACTTTTTTAAAACAAAAAAGGGAGCAAAACATACCAGCAAAAAAAAGCATGTGCTGAAAATTCATGGGTATCTTCTTGCTTCTTTTTAAATTCATTAAAAAGGATAAAGGATACACATTACAAAATCGGGACACAGCTGTAGCTAACTTGTATTTTTTTATATCAAGGTTGATAAAAATAATGAAACTAATAATAACAAAACTAATAATCAGTTATAACAACACAAAATTTAAAAAAAAAATTGATGCATAAAATGAAATGATACAAATGCCCAACCAATAAAACCTATATCCCATTGATGGCGCTCAAATGTAAACAATGTTAAACCCATATAACAAAAAATAAAGTTTTCAGCAAGAAAATTTAGAAGTCCAAACACCTAAAAAAAGCAAAAATTATTATTAAATTATTTGTCGGAATAGAGCAAAAAAAAATTTTAGCAAATATCACAGGTGAATTCAAAGAATAATTAAAATTAGAATTTTTGTAAGCACTTTCTTTAAAAATGAGTAAACATGACTAAACTTACTAAAACATACAGGAAATTACTATTCTAGTGAAAACAAACAAATGTCAATAAAGAAAATATAAATACTTCTTTTGTTGCACTCTTTGATTGGTCTGATAGATTGTTGAAAGTATAATGAGCCTGGGATATTCCACAGAACAGTACTGCAACAATACCTAAATAAAAAATGTAAAATAATAAAACTCAACAGTTTTACAGGGGCAGACAGTACTACAGATAGTTACAACACAAAAAAATAAAAAAAATAATAGAAAAACAACATCATTTTGTTAAAGCACCTGCAAAGAATTATACAAATTCCATATCCAAAAAACAAATTAATAAATACAACAAAACAATAAAATAAAATAAAAAGTTTATATAATTGAAAGATATGTAAGAAAAACCACTAAGCTTCCCCACCTCTACCTCTAGAGTGTGACATTTATTAGAATATAGAAAAATTATTATACTTTTTTTTGTATAACATATAAATATTTAATAATATAGCAAATAACATATTTATTAATATAGAAAAATTATTATACTTTGTTTTTTTATTTATAATTATTATTATATTTTGTTTTTTAAAAAAAAAAACTGCTGGTGGAGTAGAAGAATTATATTTTTCAAATATGAGTAAGTATGTGTCTCTACTTGTACAGAGCTCAACTTATTTCGTTGCTGAGCAACCTTGTTCGTCAAGGATTCTTTTTATTTACAAACACATTCTCAACAAGACACAAAAAATTGTAAAAATAGGAGAATAACAAGAACAACTAAAGATGAAAAAAAGAATTGAAAGAAGAATTTCAAAATGCAAAGCATAACAGTCAGAAAAACACTACAAACTCCAAGGCAACAATATATGCAAAAAAAAACTAGGTGAAAATTATTTTTGAGAAAAAATTGGTAGAAAAGGCATGATTTATAGTAGATTTTCTAAGCAAATAAAAAGTATTAAGCATTTATCAAGACTCAAATACATAGTGGCATTATCAGCAAATAAAGTAAAATAAGACTGATTGATTAATGTTGGCAAGAAAATAAGGCGTAGTACTAAACATTGTGGAAGTTATTAGAAACAAAGTGTAATAATGCTTTCTATTAATTAACTTTGTTATTGCAATTACAATACAAAGACAAGAAAAATAAAAACGGCATGAGACCATTTATTTTCTTACCAATTTAACTTAAAGTTTTAAAGATAAAAATGTGATTCTATCATATTTTACAATCTTTTAGACATTTAATTTTTTTTAAGTAGCATTAAAAAAAAAAAAGGTTTTAAAAACATTTGTTGCATATTTAGTATTTTGCAGTCAATATTTTATTTTAAAAGTTTTTATTTGGTGATATATTTGTTATATATTTTCGTTCATTTTAAATGTTTATAAATTTTTTTACTTTTTTATTATTGTAAGTATTATTTGGGTGCAATGTCTGTCTTATTTTTGCCTTCATTGTTAGTATATTTTTAAATATTCTATTAATCTTTATTTTTGTCTTGAATACTGTTAAAATGAGCTTTGTTTGAAAAACAATTCTCCTCTATTCTAATTCTACTTCATTTATACCTCAGACGTTCACTTCTTGTATGCGATCATTTAGTAGTAAGTGGCCGGGGCCCTGGCTCCGGCTAAAAATGAGACTTTTTGCAAATCCGGTTCCGACAAAATTAAAAGATTTGGCAAGGGTTGATTAGGGTAGAAAAAAATTTATAATGCTTAATATATTATAATTTTATGCTTACATTTATTATTTATTAAATACTGGCATACATTTATATATTTTTAAACTCTTATTTACTTCTAACAAGATTGCAAGCAATCGCTATTAAGTTATGATTTTTAAATAGAGAATAAATAAAAACACTAGGAAACGTATAAATGAAGACTTAAAAAGTTGTAAGTTGTATAAAAAAGTAAGAAATGATAATGGGTAAGAGTTATAATGTTTTTTTTTTTGAAGTTCAAGGAAAAAAACTGAATTAATTATCTTGCTATAAAAAGGTTTTATAACATGAAGGTACAAATACGGTAAAAGGATGAAATTTGTTGAAGAAACAGCTGAGCAGATACGAGTTTTGGTTTATTAGTATAGAGATGATAGCTCGTTTGAGTATTGACCATAATTGTATTTGTAGAAAAAAAGAAAGAAATACAACCTTACAACAATGGGAGAGTGGCTAAAACTTGGCAGATAAAGCAGGTCTAATTACATTTACAATGTGCTTTTAGACTTTTTCTGAAAGTATAGGGTTGTTATTTGTCAATATTTATATAAAATATAAATATTGACAAGCCTCTGTTAGCCTTACGCTGTTAGCCTTATGCTGTTACAGAAGAGAGATCAGATTTAAAATCAGCTGCTTGTTCTAAGCAATTAAAAGGTGAAGATTTTTTGTCAAGACAAGAGTATAAAGACGAGTTGTCAGCAAATAGAGCCAAATAATACATAAGTAAATATAGAACCTTGTGGTAACCTTAAAGTTACTTGAAATAAAGAAGAGTGTGGGCCTTTAAAAATAACTTTATGACTGCAGTTAGTAAGAAATAATTTAATAAACTCAAAACCTTATATAAAGAAACTAATAACAGAGTGAAGACTAATCATATGATAGTTGGAGAAGTCAAAGTGTTTTCTAGAGTTTTGAAAAATTGAAACCACTCATTTAGCACTTTTTAAAAGTTTAGCAAAAATTGAAAAGAGTTCTGGAGAACACTTTTTAAAGACTATGATGGAAATCTATTTTAGAGCACAAACTGTCGAAGTGTTTAATTTTATATTAATTTTAGCATTGGAAGTCAGAGTGATTTCGATAACAATTGGTTAATCTGTTCAACTGTCAGGAAGAGTATGGTCATTGGGTAATTCAATGTCAAATGGTGATATGACATTGGGTAATTCCATGTCATATCACCATACATCTCAGATTTTGCTGATTTTTATACAGTTGAGAATGCTTAGTAAAATAAGAATTTTTTGAAATTTTCAGCCTCTGGCTCCAAAAAGATCCTAAAATATGACCATTTTACTTTTAGCAGATACTGGCCAGGCCTCTCTTGTTCCCTTTGAATTGCAACATTTGTTAAAATTCATATAACTTTAAAAAAATTTGAGATTTTTTACTTTAAAATTTGTAAAAATGTTGCAATTCAAAGGGAACAAGAGAGGCCTGGCCAGTATCTGCTAAAAGTAAAATGGTCTTATATTAGGATCTTCTTAGAGCCAGAGGCTAAAATTTTCAAGGAATTCTTATTTTAATAAGTACTCTCTAACTGTACAAAAATCAGTAAAATCTGAGATATAGGGTGACTTTTTACAAATTTCTCGGTCATTTGATATGGATTTACCCCATCATATTCAAGAGTCAAATTAGAATAAGATTTCTTTGTAAATAACTCCTTTATTCTTAGGAGAAGTACCAAAGGTCAAACCCATGAATTAGAGATTAAATGTTAGACTTTAGTTAATAACACTGTTGAAAACTAGCCAAAAGTCTCTAGAACCTAACATCTGAGACTTATCTCAGATACAATACAAGATTTAGCAAACTGAGAATAACAGAGCTTAACATTATACAGGACTTTTTTACATAAGCTTATTGCAGGATAAAGGCATTTGTTCTTATAATATGTTTAGGATAAGGGCATTTGTTTTTAAGAGAGATATTTTTGTAAAAATGATGAAAAAAATGATTAATGTTGAAAAATGGGGAGTACAATGAGGCTTGACTTAAAATTGAAGAGAACTAATAAAACTTCCAAACTTCCAGAAGGAATAAAAACTTCCAAGATGCACTTTTTGCAAACATATTATGGATATAAACATATCTGTTTGCTATTTATTTAGATGCTGGCATACAATATTCTTTCATTGTTGTATAAACTTTAGTATTTATATGGTGTAGTATTTGCCAAAAGTGAAGATGATCAGATGGATGTGTGGTGTGACTCAAGAAATACAAAAGGAGGCATAATCTTAGACAAAAAATGTTGTATCGAACATTTGTTAGAAGGATTAAAAAAGATTAAAGTAATTTATCAAGATGTAGAGAGGAGAAGCTTCAGTAGAAAATGGTAGTGGTAGAAGTAAGAAAATTTGAAGAGAGTGCCTTACATAATGTATGAATAAGCTTTAAGAAAAAAAAATGCTCTAGATTGTTTATATTAGCAAAATAGCATAAAAGAGGAAGGCTAAAGCCTGATGATGATGATGATGATAATAAAGATGATGATGATCACGATAATGATGACGATGATCATCATCATCATCATCAGGCTTTAGCCCTCTTTTAAGCTGTCAATGATGATGATAATGATGACAATGATGATGATAATAATGATCATGTTGATTATAATGATATACACTATTTTTATATTTATATATGCATATATATATATATATGCATATTTTTTGAATAAAAAAATATACTTTAGGATTGCATTCATAAATGTTTATGCAGCCCTGGTCACAAACCTGGCCCCAGCTATATTTTATCAAACCTGGCCCCGGCCACGGTCAAATTTCAACCCCGATCACTTACTACCACTCGGCAAATTTATATGCTAAAACTTTAGATATTTTTTATTAATATGAAGGAAAAATATAAAACATATCTTTCAAATTAAATCATACATACTAAATATTAATTATACTGAATATCACTTGCAAAAAACATACATAGATATAATTTGTGTTGTGTAGGTAATAAACTAATATTTTTTCAAGACATTACTGATAAAATGGTATACTAAATAGAAGAATGAAAAAAAGTCTTTTAACAAATAACACTTAAAAACAAACTTTAAAATTATTTTTAGTGTCAAAAACAAAAAAGATTATTCGTAACAACAAAAAATCTCTTTTGGTTTTTTTCCAAAAAAAAAAAAAAAAAACGCTCCTGTTTATGGAACTACAAATACATTTCAATCAAATGCAAATGTTAAAAAAAAATTAAATAAAAATTAAATAAGAATAAAAAAAAAAGTCTCTTAAAAAGCAAGCAGTATAACAAGAATATCCAAAAAAGTTAATAGAACATAATATATTAAGAGTTTGAGAAAATTCAAAACCAGGGATGCAAAAATGGACAAAAATGGATTTAAAAGATGATTACTTCTTTGTTTTTTTTTTTTAATATCCAGGAACTTCAAAAATGTAAAAAGGCTTTTGGACAATATTTGGCAAAAATAGAAAAGATTTTTAGTTTAGAAGAACAATCAATTTCAAACCCTGGGTCCTTATGTATAATGGCAGCATAGACTCTAGGACTTCGGTATTATAAACAATATACAGAGAGATCACATTCAAGATTCACTACTTGTTCTTGCAATAAAAAGTGCTGATAGAGCAATAAAAATTTTTTATCATGAATTGAGTGTATAGTTTGGCATCTACAAATAAACTTTAAAGATAAAAGTTTTAGAAAAATCGTCATTAATGATGAAAAATAACAGAGAACCAAGGAAGGAACCTCAAGGTACTCCAGATATTACTGCAAATTAAGTAGAGTGTTGTCTGTTAAAGAAAACTTTAATAACTTTTACAGATAAATAAACTAATACATTGGACTCATAATAAGAAATATTTAAAATTTTATAAAAAAGTTAATTTCTCTTTTAAATACTTAGTAAGAAATCCAAACTGGTCATGATTTTAAAATACCAATACTTTATTTTACTTATTCTAAAAAGAAAGCAAGCCACAATTTCTATGTGACCTGCTCTAGCAATAGATAATTTTTTTTTAAAAAAAAAGAAAAAGTTTTTGTAACATACTTTTCCATAGCATTTTCTAGATCAAACAGTAAAAAAATTCTCAAGAAACCGTGAAAAAGACGACAAAAGTTTATTTTCATTTATTTTATGGAAAAAGTCCTTAACATTGCATGCACATTTTCTGGTTAAAATTTGACATAGACATCAAGTAGAGTCATCAACATCAAGTAGAGGCTTTCTTATCAAATATTACGCTTGGGATTTCTTTGTTAAAGAGCATCTGAAATATTATATCAAAACCAAGCTAGAATTTAATTTCTAAATTTTATTTTACTTGGTCACACAAACACATTATACTGTTTATAAAATAGATCAATATTGAATATATATTTTTAATTTAATATATGTGTGTGCGTGTGTGTGTTTATATATATATACATACAAAATATCAATATTAATTAGACTCCTTTTTTTATAAAATAAAATATACTTTTTATTAACTTTTGTCAAAATTCAAAAATGTTGTTTTTTAAACTAGTTCTTGAAAACTTTGACTGAACTTTTGTGACATAAGCCCCTTTTGACTGTTAGAACTTCTGTGACATAAGCCCCTTTTTTCTGTTAGAACTTTTGTGACATAAGCCTCCTTTTGACTGTTAGAACTTTTGTGACATAAGACCCCTTTTGACTGTTAGAACTTTTGTGACATAAACCCCCTTTTGCTAGATTACATATATTAACTAGAAAAAATAGCCTGAAACAGTTTTATAAGTGAAGTTTAATTGATGAGTTTATATTTACAAACAATTTACCAGTTAATTCAGCAGCTTCTGCTATTAAGAATGTACTATAACTCATCAATGTAAACAAAGCTGTCTCCAACTGAGGAAATTGATATAAGTGAGTTAACTTAGTTAGCTTTACTTGTTAAAGAAAATGTTGTTTTTAACTCTATTACAAGCAAAACCTTTAAACTAATAAAAAATACACACAAACAGTAACATGAAACAAACAAGGAAAGAAACCAAAAACATACTAAACAATGAGAAAAGATACTAAAGCATTTCCTAATCCCATAATACTTCCAATTAATAATGATCCTCCGAAAACTGCAACAAATTCTCCAATTGATTTTAAAAAAGAAGTAAAAACAAAGGCCTGTGAACTGTATGATTCTACGGACCTAAAAAAAAAAAACAGCCTACTTTTACTTTCACTTTGCATAAAATTTTTTTTTTAATTAAAACTTATTTTACTTTACATAAAAATAAACGGTAACTAAATAAATATAAATATAAAATAAAAATAACGGTAAAGTTTTTAAAATAACGTAAATGAGACTTAGTAAAATAAAAACATAAATAAGACTTAGTAAAATAAAAACATAAAAAAGACTAATTTAAAAAAAAACTTTTAATATGTTTACATTTTTCAAAGAATTATATTAACTTATATGACAAAAAAAATTATATCTACTTATATAAAACGATGGAAACAGCATCATTTAAAATGCTTTCACCAAATGCCAAGGCGTATAAATCAACATCTACATGTAGATCATGAAAGATTGCTAACACAGTAACTAAATAAATACACATATGCATTTAACTAAATTCAAAACTAAACACAATATAATTACTTTATAATTAAAAAAATAATAAAAACAACTCTTTTTTTATAAGAGCTGCAATAATAGAAAAAATCTTAATATAACTTCTTTAAAAAAATAAATAAATCTATAAAAATAACCACCTGGATCAGTAGCTGAGATAACAGAACCAAACAACAAACAATCTTGAAACGAAAAATCTTTATAGACAGAAAACATTCTTACAAAACCATACATCAAACCCCTAAAAATATTTAAATATAATTACATTATATTAATTAAACACCAGGCTAATGAATTGCTACTTTTTAAAAAAAAGATGCTCAAAAAAATTACTATTAAAACCAGAAAAAAATTTTATAGTTTTTTTTAGTTAAATTTCC